AAACTCGAAAACCTACTTAAATAGACTGTATCTGTAACATGCGATTTTCAAAATATAATACAATTTCTGACATTCATTGTTAGGTGTGTAAGGTGAATCAAGCGTGTTAAGAACATATTGTATATTGTTTACAACAAAATTGTTTGAACAATATAGCTTAAAAATGAAATTTTTTTAAATCTGATGACAGCATTCATCGTATGCAAAAAATGCCTATGGAAACATCGATCACATATTTTATTAATTCCTTTGTTCAAACAATTCAGTCAGCACTATGACCATTAGGAGAATACTTCAAAAAATTATGGAGTTTGAAGAGAAAGATAAACGGCAGAAGAAACGGCAACGAGTAAAAAGTCCAGTTTACTCCAAACTAGATCGACAGTTGTGCAGCTGGTTCATAGAGAGAAGAACACTGGGGGATTATGTAACAGATGCTTTGCTTTTGGAAAAGGCACAGGAACTGAAAGAAAGTATGCCACCAACGTCCGATTTTAAAGTCAACTATGAGCGGCTGGCAAAATTTAAAAGTAGGCACAACATTCGTTTAGTGAAAATATATGGTGAGGAAGACAGTGCTGATGAAGATGCAATAAATACATTCACACAAAATTTTAAAACATTTATAGAGGAAAATGATATCAACACGGATACAATTTATGACATCGACGAAAGTCGCTTATTGTGGAAGGCATTGCCAACAAAAACCTTAAGTCCGCAAAATGAGAAGCTGGACACAAACAGCGGAAGGAAAGAATTACAGTAGCTTTTGTGCAAATGCAAGTGGGACCCACAAATTAACGCCGTTAATTATTAATAAATATAAAAAACCTGGAGTATTAAGAAACATAATGGATAATTTACCCGTTGTTTATAAGTTTCAAAAAAATGCTTGGATGACTCGCGAGTTATTCGCAGATTGGTACGACAATCATTTTAAACCAAGCGTCTGAAAGTTCCAGTTACAAAACGGGATTTTAGGTAAGACAATTTTATTAGTTTGTAACCGTACAAGGCACGCTCACATATTAGCGATTCATAGTTCGCGGATTGCGGAGTGGGGTAGAGAGCAATTAGGCAAACTATTTCGTCACGCGTCCAAATAACGCATGCGTGTGATCCCCTCCAGGTAACAGGTGAGCGATCGACCCGCAAGCCGTGAGATCGATCGTCACTCTGATCTCTATCGGCTTCTAGATCACTCGTAATCCTAACAAGGGGGTCCGCCTAGCGAAAAACGGAACATAGCTTGAGTCAAACTGACTATCGAACACGCAGTAAAACGACTGATGCTCGCGGTTATTGTTCGCGCCTCAAACTGAGGAGTCGTCGATCCAAACTGTGTCACGGCACGGTTACGCGTTATTCCCGCGATTTGGAAAATCGGAGATTTTGCATCCGGGAGATCAGAGTCAATTAGGAAAGCCACTCCAGGTTTACATACATTCGAAGATCTGAGAACCGAGACTCACTTATTTCTAAAAGGTGCCTCTCCCATCTCGAGTACTCGCGAATGTCGTACGAGTGAAGCCAATGGTGATAACGTGTTTGAGGCCCTAGATCCCAAAAACTCGTTTTTCATCCATTCCTGAGCTCAGGCATTTTAATACAATTTGGAGTGCGAAGTAGGTGACGTGATAACTCTAATCGACAGGAAACTTCCAAGTTATTGTTAATTTGAAAATCGGAGAAACGAGACCCGCTCGCTCAGACGAGTGCCTCTCCCATCTCACGTATAGACGAATTACAAACGAGCAAAGCCAGGGGTGATAACGAAGCTTCAGGCCCCAGAAACCCTTAGGTTCGTTATTCACTCTCTCCTAAGCTCGGGCAGTTTACTGCAATTTGGAAGTTCTTTTTGGTGTGACTCGGAACCAGAATTGAGGATTTGGAGCTATCGTTA